CTCATTACACTCCTTCAATTGGAGCGAAGGCCTTGGATTCATATTCTTTATTAGCTCTGGGAAATTCTCGGCCATCGGACTTCAAACATCGCTTCTTACCTTTTCTCTTTCGTTTCATGCCCTCGCACTTGGATTCTGCACTTTCTGAATGAGTTGTCTGTCTCTCCTCGCTGCATGGTTAACCTTGTTGACCAGTCTTCCAATTCTCTGGTTCCTCATCTGCTACTAAACCGATCTGTTGGGATCTAAATTCTGTTATTACACGTTTTGATTCTAGCATTTTTATTTGCTTTCTTGTAAACACTCCTGATCATTTTTTTGTAGTTTCCACTTCCATGCTGTAATTTTCAGCTTTTTTCCCTTTTTTCTGTTTTAGCCTCGTGGCTATATTAAGTATTATTGTCTTGCTAGTCTGTTTCTACTGATTCTGACACCTGGAGGTTTATACCCTATTGTTTCTGTTCACTTTATGTTACATACACAATGTTCCTTGGTCTCCTTACTCATAATTTAATATCTGTGTAATAGTCTATTGATCTAAAGAATGATAGTTTTGTCAGATTTAAAGTTAGCGTAGTCTCATCTCTTAGGATAGCACTTGACTAACACTAATTTGTCTTCTTTCTGAGTAGACACTGAGCAATTATTTATGTCCTCCTGTATCTTTGCAATAATTGTGAATCTAAAAATAACGCTTATGGGCTGGGGGTGCAGCTCAGTTGAGCACTTGCCAAATACGTACAATGCCCTGGATTTAATATCTAGGACTGCAAAGAAAATAAGAGTATCAGAATTATTTGTGTCTAAAATTTTGGTTATTTATATTGCAAAAATATATTGTGAAAAAATTTTAAGTGATAAAAATAATAAAATTGTTTAAAGCTAAAGTTATGATAACGTATTTTAGTGAGCTCTTATAACATACCAGGCCCTTTATATTTATGTATCATTTTGTTATTCCCACAACCCTTGAGTAGATACTATTATTATGCCTAGATTACAAATGAAAATGTTGAGTCCAAAAAAGGATTCAATAACTTGCTCACAGTCACCCAATTAGTAAGCAGGTGATGCCAGCATTCTAGTACAGATAGCCTGGCTCCAAGATCCACTTTCTTAATTACTTCTTTATGAAAAAAAGGAAGTAGAAAAAAATAAAACAAGAACATCAAGACATACGCCTCCACAGCCTTATTACCGCCTGTTCTTTGACATTCACAGCACGATTCTATTTTGGCCTGAAAGGATTAAGAAAGAAAGAAAGAGAAGAGGGAAACTTTGAAGGTACTATGGGTTCAGAACAAATTGCGCTCATGAAAGTAGCCATTTTGGGGGGCATGGATTTTCCAGCCAGGAATACCAAATGGCAGGAATGTACAAAGTCTGTCTTTATGTCAGAACGTCTGGAGCTTCTGCTGGACAACTTGGAACTGGAGATAATGTCATCTCCTGCAGTCCCCTTGGTTTGTGTGTCTGCCAAGCAATGGTGGGCACCTCTGGGGCCCAGCCACCCTGCAGCCAGGCCTCGCGGGGGCCTTGGCTCCTAGGCAGGTGTAAGCTTCCTTGTGGCTTGGGGCTGGTGTCTTCCATGGGAGATGTATCTGTGTCTACACCTGCATCTGCGTCTATGTCAGTGCCTACGTCTACATCTTCAAGACGGACAAACACAACTCTTACAGCCTTCGTGGAAGTCACGGAGCACGCTTCCCCCGTGCTGTGTTGGCTGTAGCTGTCATAACTAACCTCCACGCAGACTCCAGGGGGGGACAAGTCGCATGATAAAAAGTGACAAGAGATGCGTACGGGGATTTACAATCAGAAGGAATATATAAAATTTCATTTCTGTGTTGCACGGGAGCCGTGGAAAAAAGAGGAAGGATTTAGGTGCACTGTAAAATGTGAGCTGTGTGCCTTTTTAAATTAAAAGTACAGTTAACAAACAATATGTATCTTCACTTCGAGTAAGAACAGATTTATTTACATAATTACAAATGACATCAAAACTAACAATCTTTGTAAATCTGCCTTGACTAATTTATAAACAGCATCTAATGTCTGACAGTAGGACTCTTAAGGAAGAAAAATCTGATTTTACATATAATGATTGATCTTTACACCACAGACTGAGCCGTTCCGGCACCAACTTTCCATCCAGCAGACAGGCAGCAAGGGTTTGTCGGGGTGGTAATTTGGTTCTTAGGTGTAAATTATGGCACAGACACTTTAGAGAACATAAAATGAGCCCTTAGTGTCACTGAAAAACTGTGGTTATAATAGATGAACTTCATGAAAAACAAATATGATCTTTCAACAGATGTGGTCAGTGAGAACAAATCATGCCCTCTATTCATAAGGTGAAACCAAAGCCCGTAAAAAACCCAAAAGATTATGACACACTACACCTTTGCCATGCAGTCCATAAAAAGCCTGAACTATTACAGGGTGTTTTGTGTCTGCTTCCTTACCTGAGACTCTGAGACCGAGACCCACAGTAAATAGCAGCCCGAAGGGTCAGAAGCAGCCAGGGTGAGCTCTGCCGTGTCACGGAAGGCGAACACTCTGCTTTCTCGTTATGTGTCAGATGAGATGGGACAGATTTCAAACTAGACAGGCGAAATAAAACCCCACCCCTCAACATATACAAAAATACCTTTGAGTTACCAGGAAGATTTTTCTTAAATGATAACTCCATAATTCAGAGGCATCTAAGCCGGAAAGAGACAGCAGAATTCACATTCCTGCCCAGGACAGATGGGTGAACCCACAGGTTCGGAAGATGTGAAACTCAGTCTGCGGGAAGAGGACCAGGAAGAACTGGAGCCATCTGTGGGACCCCATCTCCACCCTGTTCCCTGGGGATGTGTGAGCTCCTTCATTCCAGACTGGGGCTTTTGGGTTTTTTTTTTTTTTTTCCCCGTTGTCTCCTGGTAGTAATACCTTGAAGAACCACAAGAATAAGAACAATTCTTAAGCAAGATGTGATCACAACAATGTAAGAATTTCCTTCTGAACTTCTTATGCCTCTAGTAACTCTGACAATGGGCCAGGGTATACAGAGATTAGCTGGCTAATTTTTGCAGTCATGAAGGTTTTTCTTTTATGATGGCAGGGATTCATTTAAGATTTGAAAGCACTAAAGAAATACCACAAACTCAATTAAATAGAACTTGAATAAATCAGAAGTAATCCAGGTTTATATGTGGATTTAAAAAATCAGCCCAGAAGCTGACGATACAAAATTCTTTCTCCCAAGTTAAGTGACTTTAAAGTAATTTACAAAGACAATCTGAAGCTAAAAAACAAAAACAGAAACAAAAAAGCTTGGATTTGGGGAAATCCAAAACGAATGCTAATGAAAAAATACATTTTCAAAGGATGCGTGTGAGTTTTTGCTGCTTTATAGTGAGATTCAGTTGCCAGGGACAGTTTGGAAAGAGTGACAGCTCTGGCTTTGTGGGCATCATCTCGGGAGGCATCTGCAGAGCGAGCTCAGAGGCGGGTGCAGGAGCATCTTCTGTCCTCCACGGCAGCCTGGAGCTCGGGGCTGACGTCCTCCCAGAGGGCGGGCACGGCTTGGCATTCCATGGGGAGCAAACTTGAAGGGTGACGTTAGCCAGAGACCGCACAGACCTGACGCATACAGCACAGGATGTGAGTTCCTTCCCTTGTCGGACAGCAGAGCCACTGACCCACCACCTCCCTGTCACCTCGGCGCTCTGGATCCCTTAGATATCATCGGAACATGGTGTCCCTCTGCGTCCTCACTTCTGTATCCTCGGTTTCTTTTTATCCTCCCCAACGGTTTCCAAAGGCCTCTTGATCTACTGTCCGTCTCAGACAGCACAGACTTTTTCTCTGAGCAGAATCACAGAGCTGCCTTTCTCCACTCCAGCCCCCCGCATCCTCTTCCTTGTGTTTCCCAGAGCCGGGGCTGTCCGTGAAAGCTCCCAGTGGCCTCTGTTGTCTGCAGTACCAGCTCCTGCAAGGAATTGTACAACATAGGAACGCATCCTGAAAATAATCACACCACACGTCTTGGAAAACCAGGGTAAAATTTGCTTGCAACAAAATGACCCGTCCAAGTTTTAAAAAGAAATCCACAAGAACTCGCTTTTCTTGAAACAAAACAGAAGCCCTTTTGGCCTGAACAACTTCCTTAAATTTCTTTCCAGGCAAGGGCTTATTTATAGCGACAGCCCAGCAGATCCTTCTAGTTTGTGCCTTACCTAGCAGGTCTCTGAATATTTTGGTTCCCTTACCCCTGCCCATAAACCTCATAAAGTTCTTGAAATCAGCTTTTGAAACTTCGATTTCCTTGCAGCCCTAGGAATGTTTGGACATTGTCTTGCCTGTAATAGTTCTCCAGACATTGATAATCTTGCTTTAGTTCGGCTTGCTTTTGTAGGATATGTAATAAATGCCTGGTGGCACAGGCTGAGTTAAATCATTTCTACGTTGCATGTTTGAGATCCTAAAATGTAATTTCTATGATCCCAAGTTACAGGAAAAATACGTGAAATACAAAAATGCTTCCTCCTATCATAAAACAAATACTGAAACATACTCTGTGGAAGCGGGCCCTCGTTGGGCTATTTTTAATCAACTGTAAAAGTGTTTTCCTTGGACCAGGATCCCTCACACTGCACCTCCCTGGATGATCTCAGACCCTCTTGTAGCCTTGGCTCCCTCTTAAAAGTGGATAATTCTTAAATCTCTTTCCCACTCTGTGCCCTTTCATGATTCCTGGGCTTGCCAGTCCAACTGCCCTGGAAATTTCCATGTGTTCAACAGCCAGCTCAAAATCAGAGTGTCCAAAGCTTAACTTCAACTCTGCTCTTCTTCCCCTTAAAACATTATAATAATATTTGTCTTTTACCAGAAACTCTGGCCCCTTTCCTAATACTTCCTTCAGCTTCACTCTCCAGATTAGTTGATTACCTTATCCCATCTTGTTTGCCTTCTTAATTCTCTTATTATTATTATTATTTTTTTTTTTGCAGCAAGATCATGCTGTGGAAGGATATCAAGTCTGCCCTTGAACTCACTATGTAGACCAGGCTGGCTTTGAACTCAACATGATCCTCCTGTCTTAGCCTCCCAAGTACTGGGACTGCAGGTGGGTACCACCATTAAGTTTTTAGAGGTTTAATATGTATTCCCATGTCACTCATAATATAATTGGTAAACCATCATTCAGCTTTAAAATATTCTCATTTTACCAAAATTTCCCTTGTGTGTGTGTGTTTTTTTTAATAGTCCCACTATTACCCAAGGAACCATGTCATCTCTTTCTATAAGTCTACCCTTTCTGTGTATTTCATGAGGTCTTTTCTGGCTGGTTTCTCTTGCCTCCCTGATGTCTATGAGATGCATCTATGTCATTGCGTGTATCAGTGTATTCCATGGTATCCAGTCTGCCACATTTTGCTTGTCACAGACATTTGGGTTGCTCTCAATTTTTGGCTATTTGCTAAATGTTGCTATGAAATTTTCGTAAAAGTCTGTGTGAATTTAGATTTTCTTTTCCCTTGAATGGATATCTTATATTGAAATTGCTTGTGTATATTGCAAATGTACGTTTACCTTTTTTTTTTTTTCCACTGAATTACATCCCTATCCATCTTTAAAAATTTGGAACAAATTCTTACTGAGTCACTAAGATGCCCAGGCACGGCTTGAAGCTGTGACCCTGCCTCACCCTCCCAGAATTCACAGGTGTGGGCATCACCATGCTCAGCTGTTTAAGAAGAAGCCAAACTGTTTGACGGCTTGTGTTTCTATTTCGCATCCCCACCAGCCGGGTGTTGAGGTTTTGGTTTTTCCACATCCTCATCAACATTTGGTGTCTGTCCTTGATCGCAGCCATTCTAACAGGAACGGTACAGTGAACATTTCATTATCAGTTCATTTGTGGTTGATGATAGCATCTCTTCATAAAATTTGCCATCCATATAGCTTCTTTGGTGAGCTACATATTGATGTCTTTTGTTCTTTTTATTGCATTGTTTATCTCTTAGTATTGAGTCATAAAAATGTTTCTGGGCACAAATCCTTTTATCCGCTATATGTAGTATGATATTTCCCACAGTCTATAACTTGGTGTTTCATGCTCCTAATAGTATCATCCTGAATGTCTTAGCTCTCTTGAACCTGGCTCTTGCTTTTCTTTCCATAACTTCTTCCTGGCATTTAGGCCTTGTCCATGCTTGGCTAACTTTATGCCGTAGACTAGTAGACTAGTCCCGCCATGTTGCTTTTCCTTCCATGCCTTGTGGTTTCAGGGTTGAGCACCTACTTCTTAGCTATGTACAGAGAACAGCTGTGTAGGTGGGACTCTAGGTCTCTTTCCAGGGAACCTGCTGCATCAAGCACAGCTGGCTGGGTGCCTCCAGCTGGCCCAGGTGCACACCCACCACAGTAGTCAGACCAACACCTTGCTCAGGGCTGCACTTACCCAGGGACCAGGGATGGTGCTGGCACTACAGCAGTGCCACCCTGCCTAATGCGAAGCTCTTCTAACTGGCATCTTTGCCCGGGGACTCTGAATCAGCCTGGCTAAGGCTTTCCAGGCTTGCTGCCATTGGCAGCTTCTAACCCAGCCCTTCCAACCCTCTTTCACAGACCTCCACCGCAGTCTGACGTTTCTCCTGCTCATCCCCCCATCTTCTTCCCCTTGACCCTTATTGTCCAATCAATCTCTTGCCTGTCTGATCTTATCTTGGCGCCTGCTCTTCAGAGGACTCAAACTGACCCACCTCAATCTTGCTAATCCCTCAGTTGGCAGGGAAACCGCATCTTCCCTTTTCCAGATACCACAACTGCAGAGGGGACCAGGCTTCCTCTGCCCCACCCTCTGAGATCCCCCTTTCCCCCTAAGCCTCTCTGGCAACTGAAGACAAATCAATCTGTAGCACTGCAGAGGCTGTCCAAAGTGCTCAGGAAAAGCTCGGAGGAGTAGGAAGAGCAGGGACACAGAGGGAAACGGCCTTTGGACTCTGTCCTTGCCTGGTCTGTTTCCCACTATCTTTTTTTTGAGCTATGAGTGTTAGAGGGAGAAAATACAAAACAATATCATTTTTTCTATGGGAGTTATTCTTGTACCTATAAATAAACACACTCCTCTGAACAAATGGTATTTTAACACTGTCATCTATGCCGCTGAAGGACATTCCTTAGCAATGAATGACAGTGGAGATGAGTGGAATGTTTATCATCATAAGAATCATATGGGCGCTGCTTTAAAAAACACTGCAGTGCTCTGGGCCCCAATCCAAACCTTCTAACTAGTCTCTCCGGAGAAGAGCACTGGGAACAGTATTCTTAAGAGTGCTCCAAGTAGGATCAACTAGATTTGGAGGCTGTCGGGATACCGTTAAGAACACAGGTACTAAAGCTGGCCTGAATTACTTTGATTTGAGACCACACCCTTTGTTAGCCATGTAATCTTGGACATATTATTTAACACTTAACTTCTCTGTGCCTTAGTTTCTCATCTGTGAAATGCAATGATGCATAGTTATGTCGGTTGCAGTGGCTCACGCTGTGATCCCAGCACTCAGGAGGCTGAGGCAGGAGGATTATTGCAAGTTCAAGACCAGCCTGGGCTACAAAGTGAGCTCAAGGCCAGCCTTGACTGCATAGTGAGATTCTGTCTAAAAAAAAAAAAATTCTTCCCACTAGGTTGCTAGAGGACTCAAAAAAATTAGTGGTTGTAGCCTGGTGCCTGTCATGTAGTAAACTGCTCAGTAAATTTAAACTCTTATTGTTGACACAGACCTTGAATATGTGTCAGATAGTATGCGTGGGTCCAGTGCAGAGTGGGTGTGTTTGTGAGGGGTAATGTTAGAATATATACCTGGGCAAGACCCACTACCTGCTCCTACCTACATGAGTGTGTGTACTGCTAACTGGTCTCCATTATCCAGGGTGTGTATGCGGTAACTACCTGCCACTTGAGGGGTGTGGTCTGTTGGTGCAGAACTCCCTTAACAATCTTTGATCTTGGCTTCAGGGAGGCTCTCATGCGAATGGAAAGGTCTCTGAGTCATTGGAGTTCAAATCCCAGCTTATCTCCACTCGCTGGGAGAAAAATTGATCTTGAACAAATGCTGTAAACTCTCTGAGCTTCTGTTTCCTTAATTTCTGAATGCCTTGTGCCTCCGCGGTCGCTGCCATGCTTAACTGAGATGCTGTGAACCTCCAAGTGAGGGTCAGGAGTGAAGAGGTGGGTGTGTCACCTTGTTCTTTGGTGCTGCTTGGTCTCCCTGAGCCACCTCACCCACAGAAGAGAGGGTGAGCTCTTCTCTCCACTGTCGCTCACTGCTATGGAATACCCCTCGAGGACATAGTTGGGCTCTGTGTCCCTCTGGGGATAGAGCTGCATGATCTCAAAGGCTCTTTGAGTCCTATAACTCAGCATTCCATTTTCATTCTGGATGTGTCTCTGTGCGACTACTAGTTTGTGAAGTACGGGGCCTTTCCCTCCTTATTCTTGTGTTGTCTTGGTTACTTCCCCAGTCTACGGGTGCTATCACATTTCCATGGTCCTTTTAGAATGCAAATGGAAACATATCTCAGTGCCACAGACCCAGCCCTTTCCTCAAACTTTGGCTCTGGTTTCGACAGCATGGTTTCAAATCCTTGCCCTCTGCCTCCATGTTGAGCACAGATGGCCGCTATAAACACACCATCAAAGTGTTTTCAAAGGGAGCTCGGGAATGGGACAGTAAGTAATACCACTAAAGCAGCAGTCGTTGGTAAAATAATCTCTTATAACAGCCTAATATTTTTAGACTTTGATGTCTCTTAATTTCAAAAGAATGTGTAAACTAATTGGTATTAATTTTATTTTTTTTAAAATTAGAACATGTCTTGAAGTAGTTGCCAAAATTGTGCCTAATTTAGAATTGTTCGTTCCTTACTGCTTCACAAGGGATTTGGTAGGGGGTAAGGTTGTGTAACAGAGATTGCAAATGAAAATTTATTTCTTACGGGGTTTTAAGCTTCACAAGAAAACTAGTCCCCAAAAATGGATTGGAAAGCCCTTGAAATCTTCACAAAGGTGAAGGGCAGGATTATTGCAAAGATAGGAATGGGCAGTTCATAATCATTTTGATATTTTTCAAGTATGATGATGAACTCCTCCAACTTAATAAAACACAGAAATAGAGACATAACAAAGCTTTTTGGCACTGAGCATGATAACACTGGGATAGTCTGAAAATTTGCTAGATAAGCAACTCACGTTCAAAGGTGAAATAAATCGTACAAATTGTATGGTTGATTTATTTAAAGCACGAGTCTACCCTTCAGGAAAAAATGATTTCTGGAGGAATAGAATGGAATCCTAGATATGGTTGCCAAGGCATCCCTCAAAGAAAAATTGCATCTACCAGATAAAAACACTCATAATTTCTAGGGTGCTTAGCCACAGTGAATCCTCTTATCCTTTGTACATCAACGAGAGGTTAGGTTTGCGGTAGGAAAAAAAAAACTACCTTTCTTTGACAAAATGAAACAAATGAGTGGAATCCTATTGCAAAGATTTCTTAGAAATGCCAGCGGATGAGAGCTGGTGGCCCAGCTAAACTGGCAGCAGGCAAGATTTCTTTCCTTGTATAAGTTGGTGGCCGGTTTAAGAGAATCCTGCCCAAATTAAGAGATGTAAACCATCACCCCATAAGCATCCGAGGGGAGATATTTTTAACCATGCCCTTGGCCTGTGTTTTAATAATCTATTGCTACATAACAATTTTCCCCAAAACTTAGTGGTTTAGAGTAACAGCGTTTTATCATGTCTTCAGTTTTGGGTTCAACTGAGTTCTTTGCCCTGTGGTGTCAGCTGGGGACACTTGGCTGCTTTCAGGGGGTGGCTGGGCTGGAAGCCTCCACAAGGGTAAGCACCCCTTTGTGTCCTTCCATTCTGTGCTCTCTCAAACTCTGTCCACGCAACTGGCTTGGGCTTCCTGACAGCGTGGTGGTCCTCACCCAGCTTCTCACGTGGCAGCTAGCCATGTGAAGAGCGGGAAAGCAGGAGCTTCAAGGTCTCGGAAGTTCTGGGCTGTCCCTGTGACAGAGTCTATCAGCTTGTTGAAGCTGAGACAGGTTGACATCCAA